GGCAGTGCTTGCCGACGGTGTAACAGAAGACAGTACTTGCCGACAGTGTATAGCAGAGAGACAGTACTTGCCGACAGTGTGTAACAGAGAGAGGTACTTGCCGACAGTGTATAGCAGAGAGACAGTACTTGCCGACAGTGTATAACAGAGACAATACTTGCCGACGGTGTATAGCAGAGACAGTACTTGCCGACAGTGTATAACAGAGAGACAGTACTTCCGACAGTGTATAGCAGGAGACAGTACTTGCCGACGGTGTATAACAGAGAATACTTGCCGACAGTGTGTAACAGAGAGACAGTACTTGTCGACAGTGTATAACAGAGAGACAGTACTTGCCGACAGTGTGTAACAGAGACAGTACTTGCCGACAGTGTATAGCAGAGACAGTACTTGCCGACAGTGTATAACAGAGACAGTACTTGCCGACAGTGTATAACAGAGAGTAGTACTTGCCGACAGTGTATAGCAGAGACAGTACTTGCCGACAGTGTATAACAGTAAGACAGTACTTGCCAACAGTATATAACAGAGAGACAGTACTTGCCGACAGTGTATAACAGTAAGACAGTACTTGCCAACAGTATATAACAGAGACAGTACTTGCCGACAGTGTATAGCAGAGACAGTACTTGCCGACAGTGTATAGCAGAGACAGTACTTGCCAACAGTGTATAACAGAGAGACAGTACTTGCCGACAGTGTATAGCAGAGAGACAGTACTTGCCGACAGTGTATAGCAGAGACAGTACTTGCCAACAGTATATAACAGAGAGACAGTACTCCGACAGTGTATAACAGTAAGACAGTACTTGCCAACAGTATATAACAGAGAGACAGTACTTGCCGACAGTGTATAGCAGAGACAGTACTTGCCGACAGTGTATAGCAGAGACAGTACTTGCCGACAGTGTATAACAGAGAGACAGTACTTGCCGACAGTGTATAGCAGAGAGACAGTACTTGCCGACAGTGTATAACAGAGAGACAGTACTTGCCGACAGTGTGTAACAGAGAGACAGTACTTGCCGACAGTGTATAGCAGAGAGACAGTACTTGCCGACAGTGTGTAACAGAGAGACAGTACTTGCCGACAGTGTATAACAGAGAGACAGTACTTGCCGACAGTGTGTAACAGAGAGACAGTACTTGCCGACAGTGTATAACAGAGAGACAGTACTTGCCGACAGTGTGTAACAGAGAGACAGTACTTGCCGACAGTGTATAACAGAGAGACAGTACTTGCCGACAGTGTGTAACAGAGAGACAGTACTTGCCGACAGTGTATAGCAGAGAGACAGTACTTGCCGACAGTGTATAGCAGAGAGACAGTACTTGCTGACAGTGTATAACAGAGACAGTACTTGCGACAGTGTATAACAGAGAGACAGTACTTGCCGACAGTGTATAGCAGAGAGACAGTACTTGCCGACAGTGTATAACAGAGAGACAGTACTTGCCGACAGTGTGTAACAGAGAGACAGTACTTGCCGACAGTGTATAGCAGAGAGACAGTACTTGCCGACAGTGTGTAACAGAGAGACAGTACTTGCCGACAGTGTATAACAGAGAGACAGTACTTGCCGACAGTGTGTAACAGAGAGACAGTACTTGCCGACAGTGTATAACAGAGAGACAGTACTTGCCGACAGTGTGTAACAGAGAGACAGTACTTGCCGACAGTGTATAACAGAGAGACAGTACTTGCCGACAGTGTGTAACAGAGAGACAGTACTTGCCGACAGTGTGTAATATCGACAATATATACCTAGACTCTGCCAAGCCTTTACCCTGATAAGTATGACTGAAAATTAAACTGGAAGGGTACGGGATACAGTGAAGTGTGCTGGCGTGGATCAGAGACTTTCTACATGACCGTGTGTAGTGTGTGGTGATTAATGGCACGAAATAATCATGTGTACCACAAGGCAGTGTATTGGGCCCGTTGTTTCATAGATGACATGGCAGAAGCTGTACATTCCTCCATACAAAAGTTTCCGGTCGATGCCTATTTAGGGAAATTAAATACAAATATTTGAAGTTCTCGGGCCATTGTGAGAAGAAGGTAAATCAGGCAAATAAATTATTGGGTCTTATAAGAAGGTCGTTAAGATATCTAGACGGTCCGTCCCTCGTGACGATCTTCAGGAGTGAAGTGCTTCCCCATCTGGAGTACTGTCACCCCATCTGGTCCCCGGGATATGCTGGGAAGTGGCAGCATGGTTACAAGCGTGATGTAGAGAGAGCTGGTTGGTGAGGGTGCTCAGAGGAGGACCAGCTTGTGGGTCGCCATGCTCGCCGGCGGGAGCGAGGACCGCCAGGCAGGCGGAGGAGGAGGTGTTGGTTGGTGTAGGTAGAGGCAGGTCACCACGAGGTCAGGTCTTAAATAGCGGGGGTAGGCGTGGCTTAGTAGTTGACCTCCGTGATGTATGGCGGCGCTGGTTGACCCAGACCACGAGGCATACACTGGGGAATTCGCGGGGTCGACTACTCAGCGACAAACAGCGTTTGTAGGGGAGAAATCCACTACAGTGCCACCTCCCGGGTGGGGGGTTGAGTGGGTGGAGGGTGCGCTGCTGCCCCCTGGCCCTGTGTCGGCACAGTTGCTTCCACTACCCTCCCCCTGAGTATAACCCATGTACACCCGTCCCCGTTCCTCCTTGACTCCTCCCTCTTCTGCTTCAAGTCCAGCAGGAGCTTCTTGTGCTGTTCCCTCTGCATTACCGTGCGAGCTGGGTGAATGAATACACCCCGAGATGCCTCGCTCCTTGCTAAGTTTTGGCCTGCCGAATCACCTCCCCTTTCTCCTCACTCACTCGTGTGATCCCAGCCTCCTCACATCCTGAGGGGTTGATGGCATCTTCAGAACCTCTGTACAAATATTTTTAAACTGCATCTTATCGTGTGTTACCTTACTCACAGTTCCCTCCGCCTGGCTCTCGGGGACTCCAAAAACTATTACATTGTTCCTGCGCTGGAGACGTTCTCGTTGTTCCTCCTCTCCCCTAACAGTAGGTCCGTTAATTTTCATTTCTTCGACACACTTCTTCAGAGTCCCTAGCTGCTGTAGGACCTGTTCTGGTCCTGCATTACTCCCAGCCCCTCCCGTGGCCTGCTAATACGTCAGCATAACTCCCTTGGCAACCACCTCCATTCTGTCGGCTACTTCCTCAGTCTTAGCAAGGATCTCTTTCCCAACTTGTTCTAGTTTGGCAACCAGAAAGGCTCCAGATTCATTTATTTTCGTCCCTAGGAAACTCGTTCCCCTGTGGCTTGCAATCCCCTCATTCACCTTGACTACACAGTCAGGACAATACCAGCAACAGCCTTCATGCTTTACGGCAGTTTGCAACATCCTAAACGCTGTAAGGGTCAGGCCTGTATCCTCCATATCCGACCTCTCCCTGCAGTAGTCACATATCATACTCATGGTTGTTGTTGTTGTGGGGGTGGGGGGGGGGTGTGGGAGGGGGCAGACTGTGTATAGATCTACCTATTTAAAAATAAAAAGGAAAAAAAAGAACAGTACCTAGCTGCCCTCTGTTCTGGTATTAACCTGCCCTGTTGCCTTTAGAGTCGTCTTCTGTTTTTCTTCTGTTTATTTTTCAGTTCACTTCGGCATTTGTCAGTACAGTATTTATGTGCTATCTCTATGTTCACTGCATTTTGCTATGAATAACGGATTTTAGACACCCACTCAGTCCTTTAGAAGCACAGAAAAATAAAATAAAACTTTCTTTGGGGCGGGAATAGAATGTCATTAAGGATAGCCAAGCTTGTTGTTTTTATTTTGTGTTAGTTTTTTTATTTCAACTAGTATTTCCTTACACATTCTTTTCCTGTTCTCTTTGTGCTATCACTGTGTTCACTGTATCTCCCTGTGAATGGTGTATTGTAGGCACAGTTTCAGTCCAAGAGAAAGCACACAAACAGGCAGGCACCAGTCTGGTGGCCCTCCTTTGAACATTTTCAACCAACTGACAGTCCCTAGTGACAGTACTCCAGATGGGGAAGCACTTCACTTTAGATTATAGAAGATCGTTACGAGGGACGGACCGTCTAGATATCTTAACGACCTTCTTATAAGACCTACTAGTTTCGTTGCCTGATTCACCTTCTCACAATGGCCCGAGAACTTCGGCTCATTGTCAACATTCACACCTAGGTCCTTCTCACATTCAGTCTCAAGTAGTGCAGTTTCTTCGTCCCGTTGAGATACGATACACCTCCCTACTCTTGGTGTGACCCGGGTGCATGCCCAGTACCTGCCCTGAGAGAGCCAGTACATGACTAGTACTTGCCAACAGTGCTTGATAGAGACGTGACCGATCGCCTGAGCGGTTAACGAGCATATCAGTGGTTAAGAGGATAAAAGTAAAAGTAAGTAAAGGTATACTTCGTGACATTGAAGTTTATCAGCCATTTCCTCGACCATTCTTGCTGCTTATAGAGATGTTTCTGCAGCTCTTCGCCGTCTATTTGGTTTTTAATTTCCCTAAATAGGCATCGACCGGAAACTTTTGTATGGAGGAATGTACAGCTTCTGCCATGTCATTTATGAAACAACGGGCCCAATACACTGCCTTGTGGTACACATGATTATTTCGTGCCATTAATCACCACACTACACCCTCCCCGTTGGCTGAGTCTAGGTTCCCTGTTTTATTCATTTTGTTATTTAATATATTACCCATTGTAATCAGCTGAAGTGAATTTTATTAATTCCTGCTATAGCTTATTTTTTTTTTTTGCAATATTTCTATCGTAAAACCTTTGATGTTATTTAATGAAGCAAAGAAACAGTAATATTCAGAACAGTAGATTAAATCCAAATAATCGGTTTTTCCTGATTTAGACATTTTTTTAGGTAATAAATTTTAAACTTTAATATAAAATAAAATAATAAAATATTAATGAATAAATAAATAATGTAGTGAATGGTAATAATCATAAATCAAATTATTACAATTATCTTAAAGAAGGTAAAGCCACAGCCGGTACTCGAACACCCCGCATCGATTGTAAACAAAGTAGACCAGCTGGTGAGACCCTAAGGCCGCTATAAAGGTCAATCTTCTCAGTTATACTTTATTGAAGTCATTAAATACCACCTAATATTCTTATTTTAATATTAAGAAAAATGTATTGTTAGTGATATTACCATGTTTGTGTCTTACTTATTGTTTAAGAATTATTCCTTGACACTGAAGTAGTGTTTGGATCACTCTACCAGACACAGTAGTTAATGGAGGGGTCTATTGGCCCATACTGGACAGTCCCATTTACACCCAACCCCTGGTCCGACTAATTACCCGAATGTAGCCAAATGTAGCCGCAATGAAGTCAAATGATGGTCGTACAAGCGTAAATCGGGCTGTGAATCACTTCTCGATTATTATTTGGTGTCACAGTCACAAAAAATTGGTAAACTTAATTTAATCTGAGTTGTGTTAGGTTAGGTTAGGTTAGGTTAGTTTAGTTTAGTTTAGTTTAGTTTAGTTTAGTTTAGGTACATGCACTTGATCTATTAACTCAGATTAAATTAAGTTTACCAATTTTTTGTGACTTCGTGACACCAAATACTAGTCGAGGTTAGGTTAAGTTAGGTTAAGTACATGCACTCGATCTATTAGCTCAAATTAAATTACGTTTTCCAATTTTTTTTTACTTTGTGACACCAAATACTAGCTGAGAAGTGATTGGTAACCTGATTTATTCATGTAGAACCATTATTTGACTTTATTGCGGCTATATTTGGGTAATTAGTCGGACCCCCCAACCCCTATTGCTCATATAAGCATCCAAACTATGTTTGAAGCTATCCAGCGTATTCGAGTTAATGATGATGTTTGGTAACTTGTTCCATTCATCCACTACTCTATTTCCAAACCAATGTTTACCTATTTCGCGCCTAAATCTAAATTTGTCTAATTTAAAACCATTGTTACGAGTTCGCTCCTGGTTGGATAGTTTGAGTACCTTCGTAATGTCCTGACTTCCATTTATACACCTCTATCATGTCGCCCCTCGCTCTACGTCTCTCGAGGGAGTGCAAATTATGCTTTAACCTGTCTCTGTACTCAAGGTTCCTAATGCCAGGGATTAGTCTTGTCATTTTCCTGTGAAGTCTTTCCAAGGATTCTATATCCATTCTGTAATACCGTGACCAGAATTGAACTGCGTAATCCAAGTGAGGTCTCACAAGCGCAAGATATAGTCTTAAGATGACCTCGCTAGTCTTGTAACTAACACTCCTTTGTATGAACCCAAGTACTTTATTAGCCTTGTTACGAGCAAAAACACATTGTTTACTTGGCTTTAGGTTCCTACTTATCATTACTCCTAAATCTCTCTCTCAGTCGGATTTCTCAATAACATCGTTGTTCATCTGGTATCTGGTTTCCCCGTTTACATATCCTATACAGTACTGAGTACTTTACATTTGTCCACATTGAATTTCATCTGCCATTTATCAGACCATTCAAAAAATTTTGTTTGGATCTTCCTGTAGTTTTGCGGAATCCTCGTCAGATTTAATTACACGTCCTATTTTAGTGTCATCAGCAAATTTACTTATGTTGCTGTCTATGCCGATATCTATGTCGTTTATGTATATAATAAATAATAATGGTCCAAGTACTGAGCCTTGGGGAACTCCGCTAGTGAGGTTGCTCCAATGGGATTTAGTGCCGTTAATGCTCACTCGCAGTTCCCTGTCCTGTAACCACGCCCTAATCCATTTTAGAATATCATATTTAATGCCATGAGCCTCCACTTTTCTTATTAGTCTTTCGTGGGGGACTCTGTCGAAGGCTTTGCTAAAGTTGAGATATACCACATCATAATTGTGCCCCTCGTCCACTGATACGAAAACTGATGAAAAGAATGTTAATAGATTAGACATGAATGCCCGCTTGTGAAGCCATGTTGGGAATCATTGATCAACTTGTGCTTCTCCAGGTGATTTCGAATAGAGTTTGAAATGATTGCTTCCAGTAATTTGCCTACAATTGATGTTAGACTGATTGGACGGTAGTTAGAGGATAGTGATCTATCTCCCTTCTTGAAAATCGGTATTACATTCGCTATCCTCCAGGATTCTGGTACTACACCTGTTTTTAAGGACATGTTAAACAACTTTGCTAAGGGCATACTAAGCTCTTCCTTACATTCCTTTAATACTCTGGCAAATATCTCATCGGGACCTGGTGACTTATTAGGCTTTAGTTTGTCTATTTGCTTACTAACATCGTTACTAGTCACTATTATCTCGCTTAATTTATTTTCTTCACTATCTCTGCATAGAGTCGGAGCCTCGGGTATCTTGTTTAAATTTTCGGTGGTGAAAACTGTTGAAAAATATTTATTCAGATTATTGCTCATTTCTCCTTCGTTATCATTTAGCTCGCCGGTATCTGACTGTATTGGTCCAATCTTTTCTCGTGTTTTAGTTTGATACATTTGATAGAATCCCTTGGGGCTTAACTTCACCTCCCTTGCTACCTTCAGTTCATTATTCCTCTTTGCTTTTCATATCTCGCTCTTAGCCCTACCGGCCAATACCTTATAATATTCTCGGAGGTAAACTTCGCCACGATTTATTCTCCTACCTTTCGCCTTCCTCTGTCCAATAATATTCTTTCAATAATTATTTATCCATTTCGGGTCATTGTTGTTTTATCTGAGTTTTCTGTATGGTATCTTCTGCCTTTGTGCATTAAGTAAGTCATTATTTAAATTGTGGAACAAGCCAACCTCAGATCTCGTGATCAGGTCATCCTCAACCGTCATATTTTGTGAGGTTCTCGTCGTCAGGTCTCCATGTAAAGTGAGGTCGCCCTCTGTGGGTACATTGTGTGAGGTCATGTAATTCACCCCCAAGCGTGATACCCCTTCTCTCAACTGCCTCTTCAAACTATCAAAGTTTGCCCTTCTGAAATCTGGGACTTTTGTGGAATTTTTCTTACAGCTGCCCTGAAAATCTAACTGGAATCTAATTTCTTTGTGATCGCTGTTTGCAAGTTCGTTCCCTACCTCGACATTACTAATGAGGTTTTCTCTGTTTGACAGAACTAAATCGAGTATATTATTACCCCGGGTGGGTTCGGTTATATGTTGACTTAGGAAACAGTCCTGGATTGTTTCAAGAAAATCCTCTGATTCTGATTTACCTGCAAGGTCAATCCAATCTATTTGGTTAAAGTTAATGTCGCCTACTATACAGACTTTGCTATGTATGGAAGCCCTGCGCATTTCATCCCAAATAAGACGTTCATTAACTCTATCAAGATTGGGAGGTCTATATATTACTCCTGTGATTCATTTTTCCCTACCATCAATTAATTCTATCCAAATTGTTTCTATATTCCGTTCAGTTTTTATTACCTTATTTATTTCACACTTCAAATTATCCCTGACATAGATTGCTACTCCGCCTCCTATCCTAATCTGCCTATCGGTATGGAATAATTTGTAACTTTCAATTTGGTATTCGACAGGTAACTCACGTGAGTCTAGGTTTATCCATGTTTCGGTGAATGCTATTATATCAATTTTTCGGTACATACCAACGCCCTGATTTCATCCATTTTGTTTCTCATACTTCTAATGTTTGCGTAATAGACATTTAAGTTAGTCGTGTTCTGAGTCCTCTCTTTGACGCGTTTAGGTTTTAACTCCCTACCTAAAACATATATATTAAATTTTTTACATTAACTTTACTACAGCTACAACCAGGGTCTTATTTTCTTCATTTTATTATGTAGAACCATCGTCTCGGACTCTCGGCTGTAAACACTGGCAACAACAACAGCGTCCCATCTCCTGTGACCATATTATTATTCATTTATATTGTATAAGGTGTTTACTGGGGTATGCTATAACGAACGGTTTGTATAACGAATATTCCTATAACGAACGAAAGTCCTACAACGGACAGTATTTTTATTATTTTTTTTACTAATTTATTATTTTTTATTTCAGGAGTTTAAATGCACATTTATGCACTTTTTTACAATTTTATATTATATTTTTCAGTGTTAAGTGGTTGTATTTGGGGCCTAGAACAGATTACCCCTATAACGAACGAGGTTCTAGAAGCAATTAGATTTGTTATAGCATACCCCACGTAGTTTGTATTTTTCATTAATTATTTTGTTTTGGGGGAAGATGGTAAAAAGCCACACAAAAGATATGAAAAGGTCACACTTGGGAACACATCTCATTATTGTTGCTTTATTTTAATGGTAATTAATGATTCACGATAAGACGATTCACCTTACACTGCAATATTGGAGGACACATTACTGTTGTTATTGAAGGCTTCACTGTATGTTAGTTCCCTTCACTAGTACATTTACAAGGGCTTGTCATGTAACATTCCACAAATCATTACATTAATATATCGTTGTTTTAATATTGTTTTGTTTTCATTCCATATGTTTACTTTTGTCAGCTTCCTTCTGTCGAGTGTGAACAAACACAACACTGCCACGCTGCACAAGCTTGACGAGCCCCGGTAAACACGCCAATGAAGGAGACCGTACTCGTCAGACAAAGTCCAGATTAAGTTTATATTATCAGGCCGGACAAGATGGCCGAAGGGGACAACACAGACGACCTCCAGACCCTGATCCGTGCCGACGACCTGGAGGGCATTACCGAGGAACCCGTCAGCAGTTGTGTGGCCCACAACCCGCCTTCTCTCTTACAACAAGTACCGTCTGTCTGGTACCTCCCCCTGCAGTGTGCTGCCCTCGTGCTCGTTACAACAGCTCTTGTTGTCCTTCTGCCAGTTTACCTTGAGGTGTGTGTGTGTGTAGTGTAGTGTAGTGTAGTGTAGTAGATGTGTGTGTGTGTGTGTGTGTGCGTGCGTGCGTGTAGTGTAGTGTAGTAGATGTGTATGTGTGTTGTGTGTGTGTGGTGTAGTGTAGTGTAGTATATGTGCGTGTGTGTGTCTCACTAAACACTTCACCAGTATTAATGAAGCACCACCTCTCTCTCTCAGACCGTCAACGTGGCGGGAGACGCGTACTCTGCCCTCATCTTCACCTCCGTCTTCACAGCCTTACCCATCGTCGTCCTGGTACAGATCCGCTATAGTTACTTCTGCCAGATATCAAGACTGGGTCCTTCATCGCCCTCGGCCATACTCAAGACGGGGTTCTTCCACGGCGTCTCCGTCCTGATGATCGTCTACGCCCTCGATAGGAAGAGGGTGGTGTGCCATGCCCAGGAGCCTCTTATGGGGCTAATGGTTATGTATATGATAATTATATACTTCTTCTATAAGGGTCCAGGTGAGTGTGTGTGTAATAGTGATAATTAGGGGTTTATTGAGATAACTTGGCACCTGAAAATATACAGCGATGATAAGTGGTGAGGTCAGGGAGTGGGTCACAAAAGCTTACAATACAAAACATAAGAAACATAGAGTCAACATATAGATTAACTGGTCTTGTAAACATTCTTGTGACCTCATTGGATGGCCATTGCATTGTACCTGGGTGCTAATCCGCTACCTCACTACAGCTGCACCATGTGGTCCGGGTAGGTCCTTCAGCTCACACAGGGTGTTGGAGATGGTTCTTGTTCCTCATGTGATGTAGTTAGGAATTTAGAGTTATTTGCCTGGGTGGAGTAGGGAGTCCTCACTTCTCTCCTGGAGTAGTATGGAGTCTTTCTTGGCTTCTCATCAAGTGTTGGTGGTGGTGAGTGTACTATAATAATAATAATAATAATAATTAACGGTTTATTGAAAGAGCTTGGCAGCCAGAAGGCTGAAAATATACAGTTACATATTTGGGGAATGGGTTTCGAATTACAAATAATATACAAGTAACATAAGTGATACAAATAAGATATATAATAACTAGATGAGGAAAAGCTCAAACTACAGTTCATTTCAACATAGTGACAGTGCAAGGAGTAGTGTTTACTGGGAGTGAATACACTGGTTTATTACAAGTTATTGATAATTTTTACAATGGTTGACTGGCTGTTCTTATAGAATGTCTTAACGTATGGGCTGATGCGGTTGGTGTCAACAGCAATTCTCGGCTAGGGATCTCAGGTGGTAATAGGAGCCGTGTCGAGGATGGTGCAGAAGCTTACCAAATTTGCAGATGAGGTCGTGGTGTGTGTGTGTGTGTGTGTGTGTGTGTGTGTGTGTGTGTGTGTGTGTGCTGCTGGGCTGGGCTGGGCTGGCTTTTCTGCTGTAATCTCTCACCATCTTCATCTGCTATCGTACTCAAGGGATTAAGATGTACTGAAGGAGTTAAGATATCGTACTCAAGAGGTGAAGATGGACTCAAGGGGTTAAGATGTTATACTCAAGGGGTTAAGATGTACTCAAGGGGTTAAGATGTACTGAGGACAGGTCCGCGTCAGGTCAACAATGCCGCTAAGTACTGATTGTCGCTCTAACATTTGTTTCTTTGTTTCGAGTTAAAATTGTCACTTTTGTATATCAGTTGTGGGTTGATGGTCAGTCTTTGCCCTGTACTGTTGGTGGGAGGATGTTGATAAATCATGATGGGCCCGACAGACCGGGCTGGCAGCTGTCTCCATGGTCAAGAGACCACGGTCAGCGCCGACTACACACGTCCTTACCCTATGAAGGCTGAAGGAAGTGTGTCAATTGTGAACTGTAAACACTGCATAACCCCGCGCCAAGCGACAGTACTGTACCTGTACACTTAAAAGGTACGAGTGAAACCGCATTACAGCCAACACGCGTTCGCGTTTTACAAATATCGTTCTTGTCTTCATCAATCTTGTTATAGCCAATTGGCGTTGACAAAACACGTGTTATAGCAGAACTGACTGGTGAGGTCGTTGATTATATGTTCAAAGTCTGCGTGTTATATGGACTAAAAATGAAGTATATATATGTATGTATGTATGTATGTAATACTATGTATGTATGTATGTATGTATGTATGTATGTATGTATGTATGTATGTAATACTATGTATGTATGTAATACTATGTATGTATGTATGTATGTAATACTATGTATGTATGTAATACTATGTATGTATGTATGTATGTAATACTATGTATGTATGTATGTATGTAATACTATGTATGTATGTATGTATGTAATACTATGTATGTATGTATGTATGTAATACCATGTATGTATGTATGTATGTAATACTATGTATGTATGTATGTATGTAATACTATGTATGTATGTATGTATGTAATACTATGTATGTATGTATGTATGTATGTAATACTATGTATGTATGTATGTATATATGTATGTACAGTCAGCCCTTAACATATGCGGGGGTTAGGTAACAGAGATACCCGTGAATGTTAAAAATCCGTGTACTTTTGCTGCCCTCTCCTTAAAACACCCATGGCCCCCCATGTCCTTATTTACCGTATATACCTGTGTGTAGTTCGAGTTTTTAAGACCTCTAAACGGGTAATAGTTTCGTTAGGTTGAAAAATATTTACCAGTGACTACCAGTAAATAATGGAAACGACGCACCACCAGCTGTGAGTGTTGGTACAGTTGCCAGGGCAGATCTCTTGCGTCATCATAGCAAGCCCAAAGTGGCCAAATGCATGGTATGGTAGCACAGGACGATGTAAAACATAAAGTATTCATTTGTTAAAGTTTATTTATAGATACTGTACATAAATTTTTGTTCATTACATTTGAAACATCAATCTTTGTTAATTAAATTTGAAACAAAAGAAAACTACGATACCGTATTTTCATTAAAATATTACATCGCAAGTATATTTTACCTTAACTGTGACTGAATGAATATATTCTCAGAAATATTTGAAAACAATGATTTTCGCTTTCATTCGTTGAAAAGATTTTACAGTAATCGCTTTTCGAATGGTTTTCAGTTAAAAAACTGTTGTACTGTATTACAATAATATTCTATCCTATCATTAGCCTCATAATCCCACAACTGAAAACCATTCGAAAAGCGATTACGGTAACATCTTTTGAACGAATGAAAGCGAAAGTCATTGCTTTCGTCACAATTTTATCCCACTTTCCACTGTAATACGTACATCATTTCAGCAAAAATATTACATTTCCATATTCTCAGAAATAAATGGCAGTTTTGTTGAAACGTAAGGTACAGTATTTAATATTAAAATGCAAAAAGAGCTATAAAAACAATTAATACTGTACACCCGTAATGTACTGGCTGGCATCTCCACTCGTCCCTGCTCCCGCCAGTCACCACTCCTCCCCACTCTATCCCTCCGCCTCCTCCACATCGTCACCACTGTTGTATTACAATAATATTCTATCCAAATTCACTTGAATAAATACTACGATACCATATTTCTGAATATTTTCAATAAAATCCATCAAAATCATTTTCCTTGTCATTGTCTTAAGCACCAAACAGCTCCTCCCAGTCTTCTCCTTGAACAGGGCTAGAGGGTACGTGTTTTTCGAATCATTTTCAGTTAAAAACTGTTACATCACATGTATATTTTACCTAAACTGCGCCTGAATGAATATATTCTCGGAAATAAATAGTAGTTTTGCTGAAACGTGATGTATTTCAATGTAAAATAGGATAAAATACATGACGAAAACAAAAGACTTTACCTAACCTTCCAATGTTCAAGAGATGTTACTCGTTTTTTTAACAGTTTTCGGTTAAAATACTGTTGTATTACAATATTCTATTCATACTGTGCTCGATATAATACATTCACGGAAATGTAATATATATATATATATATATATATATATATATATATATATATATATATATATATATATATATATATATATATATATATATATATATATATATATATATATATATATATATATATATACATACATACATACATACATACATATATATATATATATATATATATATTGACTACATGTGAACACCTCTTGAAGTTGACTTGTGTTTGTGTAGTTTAAAAAATAATGATTGTTTGTGAACTACCCGAGTGGAGAGTCCGTAGAGCTGGCTCTGACGTCAGGAGTCGATGACGTCCTTCTCAGGGAGGGATCACGCCTACGGCGATCCACCTGGGGGGGCTGACCTGGATTTTGGCGGTCAGCTTGGGGCTGATCTGGGGCTGTCCTCTGTTGCACAATCGACGAGTCTTGATTGTTTAAGCAAGAGATTGTTTGATTGTCTGGAACCACTTTGACAACCTTCCTATACTCCTGTGATGTAGTGTTAGCTGGTAGTAATCTCAGCCCACACTCGGGTAGGCTCGGCTGCTCTCGGCTCTGGTCTGGGGTGACCTTCAGTAGTATGTGTCACTGAGGGTTTGGCTGCTAAGTTTGTACCTTTATAATGTTTTTGCTACCACTGTGTCTCTATGTAGACATTTTACAAGTGTTTATAGCCACTGTTCACTTAAATTTCTTGTAAGTGCTTGTTTGCTGTTGATTCACTTAGGATGCCACTTAAGTCACTGGAACCACTTGAAGTAATGTTTGTTTCTGAGTGTCTGATCGATTCTTCTTATAATCCGTCTCACCGCTGCCACCAGTGTGTTGGTCATACAATATATATATATTTGTATATATATGTAACCGGTCGGAATTTACTGGACTTTATTTTCTCACTTGACTTGGGGTTTATTAAAGATTATTAGATGGTAAGGCAGGAAGCGCCTTGTGAGAAATCCCGAACCAGCACAAGAGCACTTAAATTTACTAACAAATTGAATTGTCCGTGACCCGTGGAAGGATAGAGGTCTGTGACTGGGATGAATGAGACACACTGTAAAATTAGACACTTATATTCCTCCAACACTACAAACACAATCAAATAATGGTACACTAATATGCTATCTCTTAACTTGAACTTAAAATACTCTGGGGAATAAAAGTTATACATGATATAGAAATTATTAGAAACTCAGGCAACAATAAATTTAAAGTATTAAGAAATGTTGCTTGCACACATGAAACAGGCCTTAGGGGCTTTCAACAAAATTATATCAAGCACTGAGAAAATGGTATTCAAAAATAAGAAATTAATAACTCTACAATGAATAGGCCCTAAGGGCACTCAACAAAATTATATCAAGCACTGAGAAAATGGTAATAAAAAATAAGAAATTAACAACTCTACAATGAATAACCCTTAAGGCCTGCATCTGTTGGTGTAACATAATTATATTGAGAGCCCCTAACCTGTTTCT